TTGGCTGTCTCAAAACTTGCTCTGTAGACTAAGCTGGTCTCAAACACAGACATCCATCAGCCTCTGCCTTTGGAATGCTGAGATTAAAATTGTGCTCCATCACACCAATCAAAGTTTTTTTCTTTTTAGTTCCTTTTTGAAAGTTGGGAATTTAGCTGGGTGGGATCTTGCCCTGAGGTCACCACTCCCTTTACTCCATTTCTTAATCCATTTATATCCTTGAACACAGAATTTAACTCTATTCCACTTCCTGGTGCTCCTTTTTCCTCAAAATTTTCATTTTGCAATTCACCCTGCTCAGCTTGCTCCTTTCCATTGTGATCTTCATGAGAGTCACTGCTAGTAACCATACAACAGTGTCTGTAGTAGGCTGTTTTGAGATTTTCTCTGCCAACAGAATTCATCCAAAAATTTTCTACTTCAACCTCAGGCAGACTCTTTAGACAAAGACAAAAGGCAGCCACTTTCTTCACCAAAATATCACAGGAACAATCTCTAGGCAACTTCCTAAAATTCTTCTAGGAAACTTCTTAAGTGAGACCCCACAGTGCATCAGATCACACTCAGCACCACTGTCTTCCATGCTCCTACTAGCATGGCCCATGAAGCAGCACTTAAAACATTCAACTGTTTTTCTAATCCACAGTCTCAAAGTCATATTACTCCAAACAAAAACATAGGGAGGCTTCTCACAGCAATACCCTACTTCTGGTACCAACTTCTGTCTTAGTTAGGGTTTTCTATTGCTGTGAAAAGACACCATAATCATGGATACTCTTATAAAGGAAACATTTAATTGGGGTGGCAGTTTACAGTTTCAGAGGTTCAGCCTATTACCATCATGATGGGGAACATGGCAACGTTCAGGCAGTCATGGTGCTGGGGCTGAGAATGTTAACATCTTTCAGCTAACAGGAAGTCAACTAACATGCTTGGTGGTATCCTGAGCATAGGTGGTATCCTCAAAGCGCATCCCCATAGTGACACATTTCCTCCAGCCAAGTCATATCCACTCCAAAAAGCCACACCTCCTAATAGTGCCACTCCCTATGAAATTATGGGGACCAATTACGTTCAAGCTACCACAGACGGGTTGTCAGAGCTGGAGGAAGTGAGATGGAGAGTCCATGTTCAACTGGACAATATTTGTTTTTGGAAGACTGGAAGTTCTGAAGGGAGATGATAGGAATCCCTTCACATGCTTCATGCTCCTGAGCTGTATGCTTAGGTGTGGAGAACATGGGGGAATTTTATGTTAGATCCCTTTTATGACACTCAAATCTCATGTAGTTCTGCTTAAATATTCCTGTTAATCTCCTCAACTCCTCCAACTAGAGAAGAACTCTGAAATCCCCCTTACCTGCCCTGCCCATTTGTCTTGCTCCCTTACTCTATGCCCCAGTCTTAGACACACCTTTAAAGGCTCCCTGAAGCAGCTAATCGATGCCCTAGGGTCTTTGCTCTGATGTTTAATCTCTGGTATCACCATTCTCTAATCTTCAGGAGGCTACCCATCACACACATGCTCTGATACAACAGGTGACCTTCTCTTGGCTCCTGGATAACTGTGTTGCTATCTCAAAGAGCCCAGCTTTGTTGTAGGATTTTAAGTGACACCATGGATCTTGTCATACCCCTGCCTGGGTCAGCACCAAATCACAGATAGGTTTATCAGATACAAAAAGGGTACAGAGGGAAAGACAAACAGAACCAGGAAGCATCTGTGTGAGGTCCATGGTAGACATAGGGGCAGCCAGGCACGCTCTGGGTACCGGGTTGGAGGTGTATATTGAGCCTTTCTCATGTGGTGACAGCTCAGAGGACCAAGATGCTAGAGTCAGGGTGATCTGTCCAACCCCAATAGCTTCTCCAGTGCCACCATACAGCATCTTTGGTAACAAGCTGGAGTTTGGCGGCCAGGAAAGCCATGTATTCTCTGTTTCCTCTTGGAGACTAGTCTTGCTAGAAACCTCTGAATGTATTGAGGACATGGGCCTGACCATTTTGAGTCAACATGGGCTCTCTGTAGTCCCGGAGAACCTTTGTCTATAGGGACCTTGTTCACCCCTAAGCTCTGTGTGGCCCAGTTCAGTTCCCTTTGTCCTGGCTGGCCCTGGACTCAGAGGCCAGGATGAAGGACAGGGTCCCGCCCCAGGCTCTGTGGTCAAAACCACAGGGCTGGTTCCTGGCATAGCCAAGGCACCCACACACACACACACACTCTGCACTCCAGGAGGCAGCTGGCCAGTCACTTGCTCTCCCCCCCCTGCCAAGCAGGAACAACCATATCCCTCCTGTCCCTCTCCTCCCTGTCCACAGCTTCCAACTCCCTCAACTGTGAAGAGGTAAACTCCGAAGGCTGTGCAAACAGGCTGGGTGGCCACCACATCCGGGATATCTCAACAGCCGCGACCCCAACAAGCTGTCACCCTTCCATCCCAAGAGATGTGCTCAGTGCCAGAAGAAGGGAAGGACTTGGGTGGGAGCTGCAGTGTGTGCATCTATTGGGTGCCTACTGTGTGCTGCCTGTGGGCACAAAGGCTACAGTGTTTTGTTTTTTTTCTGAGTGAGGATGGACAGGAGTTGGCAGTGTCACCTGAGCTGAGCTGGGGGTGGATGAGGCCCACTGGGCTTAGTTCAGTGAACACGGGGTGCCAGGTCCTGGGAAAGGGAGAGAAACTGGTAATGTCACCAGCTTTCCAGGAAGTAGGTCCTTCAGAGGTAGGAGTGCTTGGGATTCTCCAGCTGAGGGCAGCTTATCAGAGAATTAAGTGCAGTTGAACACCAGCTGTTGCCCAGTCTGTGCGCAGGTAGGAAGGCCCAGGAGAGCAAGTTGTAATAGAGGTCTAGGCAAGCCACTGCTGGTGACACATAGCTTCTAGGAAGGGGCATTCCACTCTCCAGACCATCTCTGGGTGCCCTTCAGCAACACCAGTTAGCAGTGGAAAGAGGAACTAGACATGATAGAGGACATTGCCGATCTGAAGGCGCAGGTGGGCAGCAGACAGAACTAAGGTCTGATGTGCCATCCCAGAGGCAGCAGCGGGCCTCTAAGCAGGAGCCAGAGCCCCATGTGTTATACACATTAATGTTCCTTGAATTAAGGAAACTACAGACAAAGGTGAAAAACAGAGTCAGCCTGGCAGCCAGCCTTAGCACACCTGGGGGCATCTGCCATGCCAGGAGCAAATGTGAGCAGTCTCTTGACATCATTATCGAGATAAATTCTACATGGTATATTTTTATCCCCCTGACTACATCCAAGGCCACAGCTCAGCAGCATGCACAGCTGCCCACATCCACCTCTAGAACTTTCCATCTTCCCATGAAAAACACACTCTTCAGCCTCTGGCATACCATCTTACTTTCTGCAGCTCTGACAACTCTGGGGTCCTTCCAATAGTGTAATCCTACAGGGCTCTCTCTTTAGAGGCTAGGATCCTCAAGGTGCACTCAGGGTATCAGAGTACCCTCTTTATTTGAATGTCTATATACTATTCTACTGTAGGGATGGGCCATTGCTTGCTTAGCCATTGCCCAAGCCTTTGGGGTACTCCTGTTTTAGCATCCATGGATGGGGTCCCTAGACCAGGAGTGACAGTATTAGTCATTTTTTTCTCTTTTTATGAGGAATGTACCTAAGAGGAGAACTGCTAGGCCATACAGAAGTTCTATTTTTAACTTAAGTATCAGGATGTCCCCTAGTACTAGCCCCACTTGACTGCCCACTGCCTGAGCAGGGTCCCCACCTCTCCACACCCTCACCAGCACTACCTGTGTTCTGCTGTTTGATGGTAGCTGCCATGTTGGTGGTGAGACAGTTCAAAGGCTTTTCATATGGACTGGCACACCCCTGGAAACTTTCTCAGACTGCTATGATCCAGTGTGCATTGCTGGTGGCCTCACAGCTGTAAGAGAAGGGATGGGAACATCTAACAGGAAAGCAGTGCTGAGACATGACATTCTGCTCTTTGAGCAGCCTAGAAATGGCATTGGTGGGTTTGTTCACTGTCGAGGAAATGGCTCTCCACAACCCTCGGGAAACCCAACCAAGACAACTGAGAGAGCTGAGCCTCTGGGACTCCCATTCGGGATGGGCAGTAGGGTCAGGAAACTCCCAGTTATTCCCTCGCCCCACTGTGCCCCTGGTATGGGTTTCACCAGTTCCATCAGTTGAAGCTCCAGACAGGTCCAAGGCCTTTTAGGACCCTTGGCCATCTCCTTTGTCAAGGCCTAGGGTTAATAAGCTGGTCCTGGGAAGAGGAAGAGGGAGGTCGGTGGCCTGCATTGGCCCAAACCAGTACTGGGCCTCACTTTCACCATGTACATGAGCTGTGGAGCAGACAGGAACCCAGAGATGCATCCTTTCTCAGAATCTGTGAGGGTTCCCCTCCTCCCTGGACCCCCAGAAACTACACAAAACAGGGACCCCTCCAGATCCATGGCCATCTGGATGGAACACAGTCAAAGTCCCCTGGCCCCCATTTTCCAGGCTGAGGAATGACTCAAAGAGGAGTGGGCTCACACTCAAGCCTTGTCCATTCTTTTGGAGCTCAGTGCTAAGCACCTGGGGTTAGCTTCCCAGGCAAATACAAGCCAAGGTTGCTGTCCCCTTGACCCTGATCCTTGTAGTGTCCAGGCTCTCAGAGGAGATGACATGGGGCTGCCTGACCAAATACCCACCCCACAGGTCCAGGGCTTCGAATCCAGAGTAGTTATCTCCACCCCCTGGCCAAGTGCTGGCCCTTCTTTGCCCTGTCCACTCCTTCCCAATTCTCAGAAGCTGCAGGGGGTGGGGGCACTGTGTCTGGTGGCACAATGCTACAAATCCTTCCTCCTCCATGGCCCTTTCCTGCCATGGCCCCTCCCCAAGAGCAAACACACGTGGCTGTTCAGGGAATAGACAGTGCCTGGCCTGGCCTAGGAACTGGGCTCTGGGCCAAGGTCTTCTGCTATATAAGTCCAGGCCCCCAGGGAGCAAGCGCCTTGTCTCAGTCCCTCCTGTCTGCCCTCTGTGCTGCCCCCAGGATGGGCAGCAGGAGCTGGAGCTGGGCTCTGATCTGGGCCTCTGTGGCCTTGTTCACGGTGTGGCCAGCAGGTAAGGCAGAAGCCCCTTGCCCTCTAAAAACCATCTTCCCAGAAAGATGACTTCCAGTTGGGGATTTCCCCTCTTGAGATGACTGGCACCTCCCACTGTTCCCAACACCCTGGTCCTAGGTCTTGCGGTTCTCCGGGCTCAGGATCCTATGCCCCACAGTCTAGCTATGTCAGTAGCCTAAAGGCCTGACTTCAATGGAGGTGTCTGGAAGAGGTTAGGTCCTCTAAACCTTGACATACGAACCCTGGAAAAAACCCTGCGACAGCCGTGGCTTTGAAAATGAGCAGGAATAGGAGGTGAATGTGGGGACCACAGAGGTCTTTTTGAGTCAGAGAGGTCCATATCAGATTAGCAGGGACAGAGACTCCTGGTTAGGACAGTCCCCACTCCCCCGCCCACTGCTGGGCTCACACGTACCAAGGTGATCTTCACCGAGGCTGGGGCCTTCTTGGTGAAGTGGATTCTACCTCCAGGTATTAGGGCTGGAGCCAGATCAGATGGATATAATACCCAGTGCTGTAGTCAGAACCCTGGGCTGAGTCAGGTGGGCTGTGTGACCCCTGTCAGTTTTCCTTGCCTGTTTGTTCTTGAGAAATCACAATACTAGTACTGCCAACAGAATTGGAAAGATGGCTCCCACAGGGCTCAGCAATAAGCACTCAGAGCTAGCCTAAATCCCCAAGTACCATGAACTCCCCCATCTCTGCTCCCTAGACTGAGGCTGAGCAGGAAGGAACCTTACTGTATCTGTGAAAGAAGACAGACAGTGAGGGAGAGTGGTGTCCCCAAAGCCCGGTCTTTGAGAGCCAGAGAAGCCATGGTTGTCCCTCTTGCTCCCAGGGTTATCTGCTGGCTGGTAACTACTCTCCTGGGCCATAGGCCTCCATAATGTGTCTCTCTATGTCAAGCCCTGTCTATCAGAGTGTTGAGTTCACCTGGTGAACAGTCAGCCCTCCTTCCCCTCTCATGTTACTTGGGAAGGGCAAATTGAAGCCCTGGGTTGGGGGAACATGCTTTTGTGACGACTGTGCCTGGGGTAAGGGTAGAGGCTGGGCCCTCACATAAAGAGGATTTGGTTCTTGTCTGGATTTTGTGGTGTGTGACTGACAACTCTCTGGATGAGTGGAGACAGAGATCTCAGCTTGAGGGGGCATAGATCAGAAGTGCTCGGGGTGGGGAGTATCTTCACCCATGGGGCCCTCCAGCAGATGGCACAGGACAGGCTGGGCCAAGCACACTTGGGAGAGGCTGTGGATCTGGGATCAGTGATGGACAGAGGGAGAGGCCGTGCCCTCTGAGAAATGCAGTCAAGCGGGGCCCTTGAGGAAGGATTAATGCACAGGACGGTCCCTGCGGTTTCCAAATGTCAGTTGGACACGCTGGGAAAATCAAACAGGAAGCCGCTCTGCCCATGGCACCGGAGCATGTAGCCATCTGGGTCTAGGCTTGGAGAACATGGTCTCCTGTAACAGATTGGCCTTAAGGAATCATCAGGCTTTGGAAGCTTGAAATGTGGAGGCTGAAGCTGTCTCCTGGGCTTCTAGCTGTTAGTCTGTGGAGGTGGCCTTGCCCAGAGGCAGTGGACAATCCAGGCCACTGAGAGTGGGCATTCTACACCAAGAACTGAACATTCTACTTGCCCTGACTCACAGATCCAGACTGGGGCTGCCTCTGATCATAGGTTTCTTTCTCTTTGCCCCTCTTAGAAATCTCTAATTGTGTTCTTCCTAACAAAGCCAGACTTCGTCTTTCAAGGGACTCAAGTGATGGGGCTGACAGTCACCTCTCAACAGAATATCACAGTTCTGATACTAACATCATTTCCTAATTTGCTTCCTTGAGCCACCAGCAACATCTGCCTTACTACCGGCAAGACCAGGTGTCACTCCATAGGTGCAGGCAGCGAGGGCTACTGCAGGGGAGGGACTGGTCTGGAATGGCCAGAACTCCTGAGGACACCTGGGTCTTTGGTGATGTTTAGTGACCGAAAGGTACTACAGCCGATGGGGTTGGCATCACCAGCCTCAAGTCTGTTCAGGTTTCTATAGATTACAGGAAGGCCTTGACCTGGGACCAGAGACAGTTCATGTGCTTCACAAGCCACAGCAGTGGCCATGGCCTGATGGCTTCTTCTTGACTCATGATCCCCTTTACTGCAGAGAGCCAGAGCCATCTAGAGCTGAGCTCGGAACACCCGGAACTCACTGCAGAGGGTCAGAAAGCATATAGTGGTACGTGGCTCAGACTCTGGGTTGGGGAGTTGTATTCTGGTGGCAGGGACAGCAGTGAGCGGGATGGGGCTCAGGTGGTACAGGCAGATGGTCTAGTCATTCTGCCTGAAGGCAGTGCTGGGCACACACAGCCAGGAGCATCCAAAAGAGGAAGAACTCCTGGGTGGACAGGAGATGGATTCCAGGGGAGAGTCTAGAATTTACCGTGGAGAAAATAGGTAGCCTGGAACCATCCTGTTAGTCGTGGGCTTCCTGATTTCCTTGAGGTGGGCATTGAATAGGGTGGGTGGCCAGGGAGGATATCCCCAACCACATTCCCAGTGTGACCTGGCCTTTCTCCTGCAGCTCCCACAGCCTTCTCTACCCAGCATGTTACCTTCATCCCGCCTATCACTGTCTTCCCCAGCATGAGCCGTAAGTGGACACTATCTATTGCCAGCCAGGCCAAGGCGTGGAGGAGGGGGTGGACTTGCCAGTCTGGCTGAAGCTGACATAGGGCGGGGCCCCTAAACAGCTCTGGAACTTGCCCTGGGAACATCTGTTGGTCACCTTGGGGTTTCTGGACTATAGCAAATGAAAGGGATGAGGAATGGGTCTGGGTCTTTAGGTTTTATTCAAGCAGTTCAGCCACTGGGATAGCAGAGAGCTGGCTCACATAGCTGTGGGTAGCTGGCCTCTCTGCTCCAAAGACATTGCCTTGGCCCCAGGAAGTTGTCCCTTGGGTATCTGGGTATGGAGTGGTGGCATCTGGTGACTCCATCTGGTTTCCCTGTAGCCGTAAAACTGGCACACAATGGAAGAGTGTGCAGCACATGGGGTGACTTCCACTATAAGACCTTCGACGGTGACATGTTCCGCTTCCCTGGCCTCTGTAACTATGTCTTCTCTTCACACTGTGGGGCCACCTACGAGGACTTCAACATCCAACTGCGTCGTGGTCTTGAGGGTTCCAGGCCCATGGTCACTCATGTGGTCCTCAGGGCCCAGGGACTGGTAATTGAGCTGTCCAATGGCTCTGTCCTGGTGGATGGACAGCGGTGAGTTGGACCTTGAAGAGAAGTATGTTCAGGTCAGGCCTTTAGAGCCTACTCTGCCCCCACTTGGTGCTCTGGGGAGGGGTCAGAAGCAGACCAAGTGGGGAGGACAGCCCCTGCTCATCCTTGCTGAACTTCCTGTCTAGGGTGGAGCTGCCCTACAGCCGTGCAGGTCTTCTGATGGAGAAGAGCAGTGGTTACGTGAAGGTCGGCATTCGGCTGGTCCTCACCTTCCTGTGGAATGAAGACAGTGCCTTGGTGAGGACATTCACCACAGTTCCCTACAGCCGCCATAACCCTGCAAAGGCCTTACACAGGCCCTTGCAGCCTTAAATAATCCCTCTCAGTTCCACAGATCTCCAGACACCCCCATAGTCTCCCACAGTCCCTCTATAACCCCCACAGTTTCCACAGACCCCACAAGCTCCCCACAGATTTCAGAAACTCTCAGAGTCTCGCATGGTTTCCCACAGTCTCCCATAGTCCTTACAGCCTTCCCCATATCCTCACAGTTCACCACAGCCCCCTGCAGCTCTCTTATAGGCCCTGTAGTCCCAGGTCCTATTACAGGGACTCTGCAGATTATTGGAGAGAATGTCTTCTCTAGCCCCATGGGCAAGTGAGGTGGGAAGCTGCCAGGTAGGCCCTGCAGGCAGAGCAGAAGCCCTGAGGCTGGAGTTGCTCTATGTCACCCTCAGCTGGAGCTGGACTCCAAATATACCAACCAGACGTGTGGGCTGTGCGGCGACTTCAACGGGCTCCCAGCTGTCAACGAGTTCTACGCCCACAGTGAGTACCACTGAGTCTTCAGGCTAGGTGGTCCCAAAGGCTAGAGAATCAAGGACATCCAGAAGGGACGTGGGAGGGGGTGTTGCAGAGACACTGAGTAGGTGTGTGTGTGTGTGTGTGTGTGTGTGTGTGTGTGTGTGTGTGTGTGTACATGTTCCAGATAGATTCCTCTGATAGCCACCTCAGGAGGTCTATCTCTTAATTGTGAGCTCTCTTTCGCAGACACCAGGCTGACCCCTGTGCAGTTTGGAAACCTGCAGAAGCTGGATGGTCCTACAGAGCAATGCCAGGACACCCTGCCCGCAGCTGTCAACAACTGCACAGACAGGGTGAGCACTTTGATCATGCCACAGTTCCCAAGGCTTGGGACAGTGAAAGTCCTGCATTAACTGATATAAGACCAGAGAACTCCCTGGCCAAAGTCTGAGGAACACCTTTGGGTGACCAGACAAGGACTTTCCAGCTCCCAAACAGTCAGGGAGTGGCCTCTGAGACCTGAGGAGGCTGCTGCTTGGGCCTGAGGGAGGCAGGGCAGGTTGGCTCCCCTCAGTGAGACCACATGAATCACATTTTGATGGAAGTCACAACCCATTCACCAGGGCACACAGATGTTCTCTGTGTGTAGATTATGTGTATGGAGGAAATGTGTGCCCACCACACAGAGGGCTGAGGTGGACACTCAAGGAGTCCCTTCTGTAAGCAGGGAGGACTCATCCTTTGGATCTGACCCTAGGATCCCTGAAGCTAGCAGAATATCTGAGTCCTACCTAAATTGTAAAGTGAATGAGAATGTTGTCAAAGCCTGGCCTAACTGGGGGTGCTGGGGTAGGAAGATGTTGAGTAGCAGCACTGAGTCCATGGGGGCCAACTAAGGGTGGGCGTTATCTTTATTCCCCTCTCTTTTGAGCCACCACACGGGGGTGCATTCTGCATCCTTCTGGGTGCACAAGTCACAAGTCAGCATGTTTTAGAGCCTTAAAGTAGAAGGTGGGAGAAGCAGAGAGTGTTGGGTGCCTCCCTCAGAGCAAAGGAGAGCTCTATACCTAGACATGGCACACTATTTGTGTAGAATAATGTATAAGGAAGATGGACAGATGGACGGATAGGTGGATAATTGAAATACGGGTAGATGAATGATGGATGAGTGGATGGATAGATAGAGTAGGTGATTGATGAATGGATGGGTAGATAAGTGATGAACTAATGGATGATGGATGGCAGATGGGAGGTGGTTGGATGACAGATAGATGTGGATGGACAGATGGACAAATGGATGTGTGGCTGTAAGGAACATCCAGGGAAAGAAGGGGCTTCCTGCATGGCCTAGGAGGGTCAGGGTCCCTACTACAAGTGTTATGACAATCCTGCTTGAGGGTCAGAAGGTGCTCATCTCTCTCTCTCTGTGCTCCCCAGGAGAACATCTGCCACCACGTCCTGCTTGGCCCTGCCTTTGCTGAGTGCACTGCCCTGGTAGATGTCAGCATGTACTTGGACGCCTGTGTCCAGGACCTGTGCCTCTGCCCCACGTGCCCATGTGCCACCTTTGCTGAGTATTCCCGCCAGTGTGCCCACGCAGGGGGCCATCCACAGAACTGGAGGAGTCCTGATCTCTGCAGTGAGTACCCTCACTACAGCATAGCCCAGGGTCTTTCTAAGTGCCAGTCTTGAGCATAGAGTCTGGTTGGGAAGTCAAGGTGGAGAGAGCCACTTGGGAGGGAGGGTGAATGTTAGGGTACTAGGAGGTAATGGGAAAACTGAGAGGAAGATGCTGTGCCTGAGGGTTCTTGTGGACCTGTTGGCCTCAGAGTAGGGACCCAGCTATGTCCCTGGGCACAGCAAGAAACTATGGCTCCAGAACCTCAAGGTAGGGTCTCCTGCAGAGCAGTGGCCTCAGATGGCCATAGGTAAAGATGGATGTGTGGGAAATGCTGGGCCCCTGGTTTCTAGCCTACTGCTTTGGCTGGCAGATGGCTTTTTTTTTTTTTTTTGGTTTTTCGAGACAGGGTTTCTCTGTAGCTTTGGAGGCTGTCCTGGAACTCACTTTGTAGACCAGGCTGGCCTCGAACTCACAGAGATCCGCCTGCCTCTGCCTCCCGAGTGCTGGGATTAAAGGCGTGCGCCACCAAATGCCCGGCCCTGGCAGATGGCTTTTTGGGACCTCAGTGGACATGGGAGCAGGGAGTGGGCATGGCTCTCTGACTGTCTGAAGCGACCAGGAATCACTTCTCCTAGGTCAAGTGCTATCTCTGTTACAGACTGGACATGCCCTTTCAACATGGAACACCACGAGTGCAGTTCACCCTGTGTGGACACCTGCTCCAACCCCCAACGCTCTCAGCTCTGCGAGGACCACTGCATGGATGGCTGCTTCTGTCCCCCAGGTAGACCCTGTGCCCTTTGCCCCCTACCTCCATGCCTTCCTTTGAGTCATGGTCTCCACTTCAGCTGACCCCCTCCACTTCTAAGGACAACGAGCCTGGCTAGGGGTTGCATACTATGGCTAAGGGTAGGGTGGAACATTATTAACAAGGCAGAGATATGATGATCTGCGTACAGAGAACAGGTGTCTTGAGTCCCTGAGGTCAGTTGGAGAAACTGAGGCCCAGAAGAGCTTATCCTAAACAGCTCAGGCTGAGGCAGCATTCTAGACTAGGGGACCCTTCCTCTTGCCTAGGACTGGGTTGTCTTGGAGGCAAGCTGCCGCATTCTGCCTGTGTGTGTTGGGGGGCATCTGTATTCACTGTCCCCTCCTCCAGGCACTGTGCTGGATGACATCAGACACTTGGGCTGCCTTCCCCTGGAGCAGTGCCACTGCACCCATGGTGGCCACACTTATGCTCCGGGAGAGTCCTTCAACACCAGCTGCAGCTCCTGGTAAGCTAACCAGCCTTTGTGGAGGAATGGGGGTGAGGCTTGCCTCTTCCTACTGTGCCCCTTCTGCTCATGGACTCTCCCACAGCACCTGCTTCGGGGGACTGTGGCAGTGCCAGGACCTGCCGTGCCCCGGGACCTGCTCTGTGCAAGGCGGGTCTCACATCTTCACCTATGATGAGAAACTCTACAACGTGCACGGGGACTGCGGCTACATCCTGTCCAAGGTGCGGCCACAATCCTGGCTCACAGATATCAGCTAGGGTCCTGTGAGGGTCCACAGAAGGGGTGAAAGTTACGGTGAACCCCTTTGCTGACAGGGAAGTCCCAGGCCCCAGGACAAGCTACCTGTGGTAAACCAGGGTACCCGAGGACAACTCTGGAACCCCTCCCGGTCTTGAGAAGTTGTTCATACGGGAACTCCACATCCAACCTTACGTCTTGAGTTTCTTGACAGAAATGTGCAGACAGCAGCTTCACTGTGCTGGTGGACCTGCAGAAGTGTGGAGTGACAGATACCGAGAACTGCCTCAAAGCTGTGACACTCAGCCTCAATAGTGGGGAAATGGTGAGCACTGGGGCTCTGACTACCAGTGACAGAGGTAGGAAAGCATATGGAGTAGTGACAAGTCAGATGCCCCCCAACACACAGAGAGGCCTCGACTCCCCCTCTAACACTCCAGGTGGTAAGCAGCCACTACCTAGGCGGTGAGAACCCACTGCTAGGCAGGCCTGAGCTTCCTTCCTGGCTCTGTCACTGGGCTGGGGAAGTTATTCGATCAGAATTCTTCCTATACGTGACTGGATGGATCCCATGGGTACTGACTGTGTCGCCATATACCAGGTCATCCGGATCCAGGCTAACGGTGCTGTGTTCCTGAACTCCATCTTTACCCAGTTGCCCCTGTCAGCAGGTGTGTGGCTCTCGGGGACAGCAAGCCAGGGCTGGCACCTTCAGTGAACAGTACTCTTTCAGGCTAGCTCCTGGCCTCAGGCAGCTCCAGTGTTTCCTATGGGGTACCCCTTGTTCTGTGGAAATGCTGTGTCTGGTAGTGCCTCCCATGCTCTATCTGGGACAACTGACAGTCATTTACAACCCAAGCATGTTTGGGGGCCTGGGGAATGGGACTTTTTTAGGTGCCCTACCTCCTGTCCCAGCCAGCACTGTCGTGTTTGGTTGGCCAGCTCCCAGCATGTCTAACACCTCTTACCTTACAGCCAACACCACCATCTTCAGCCCATCATCCTTCTTCATCGTGGTGCAGACAGGCATGGGGCTGCAGCTGCAAGTGCAGTTGGTGCCCATCATGCAGGTGTTTGTCAGGCTGGACCCTTCCTATCACGGCCAGATGTGTGGTGAGGCACCAGTGGGCTTGAGGATGGGACCATGGCAGAGGGACTAGTGGGGGGTTGGCTTGTCCTAGCTCTAGACTGTGAAGTGGGATCCCTTGGGAGCTGGGAAACGTTGGCTCCAGGACTCGGTGGAGACCCCATCAGCACCCAGCACACCTGACATCTAATCAGTAACCTATGGAGTGGTCTGGGAAGACATCCAGACGCGCTGCCCTGTTAGGGTCTCATCTGCGGATAAGTTCTGGAGTCAGACACGAGGAAGGGACTTTCCTCATTTGATCATGATTAGAGGTACAACAGCCCTGGGGAGAGGGGCCAGGTTGAACAACCTGCTGACCTCCTAACCCCGGTCCCTAGGCCTGTGTGGGAACTTCAACCAGAATCAGGCTGATGACTTCACAGCCCTAAGTGGGGTGGTGGAGGGCACAGGAGCCGCCTTCTCCAACACCTGGAAGACTCAAGCCTCCTGCCCCAATGCCAAGAACACCTTTGAGGACCCCTGCTCTTACAGCGTGGAGACTGGTAACCATCCTTTCCAGTCTTTGGCCACTCTGACAGCCCTTCCAGGCCACATGAACTCCTGGGGGAAGGGCTCAGAGGACCCCCATGTAGGCAGGAAGGCATGAAGGGTTAGGGTTGGGGACAGGGACAGGCTCTGGGAAGCAGGTGAGGGGCAGCCCATATTTCTTCCTTCCCTAGAGAACTATGCCCAGGAGTGGTGCTCCAAGCTCACTGAAAGCTCAGGAATCTTCTCGGCCTGCCATGCCACCGTCAGCCCAGCACCCTTCTATTCGGTGAGAACATGATCTGCTGGCCATGGGTGGGACATGTTTAGGAGTCCTTGGCTGTTGGATTCGCAAGGTCTCACACCACTACCCACTCTGGTGTTTACTTCTCAGTTAAAGGCTTTACCAACTGAGAAGCTGAAAAAAAAGGTTCTGGGGGCTCAGAAGGGTCCTTAATGGTCTTAGTGTGTGTCCAACCTCCCTCTTGCAAGGACAGCAGGTGCTGGAGCAGAGTTACCTCATGGTATTGTCTCCCCAAGCTCCCCCTTAAAGGTTTCTTTCTATGGTTGTCCCCATTAACATATGGCAGAGCACTCCAGAGCACCTTTTGAGGGGATACAACTTAACCCTAAATAGCACTCCAAAGCCCTAAAGCACATCACTCCATCTCCAAGGGTGTGTTTCCAGGATCCTACTTCCATGACACTTTACTGGACACACCATCCTGAGCCTAGCTGGCTTTTGTCTCAGTATTCCCTGCCTATCCCATCCAGGTCCTCTATGTGCAACCTAGTTAGGATGACACCTCAGATACAAATTAGACCTGCCCTTGTCTTGTGGAGACTCCTCTCCAGGGCCCCTGCCTTCCAGCTTCTATGCCCAGAACCCCCAGGTCTGGTCTCCGTTCTGGCTGCCACTTTGCCCTGTGACCTCTGACACTGTCCTTAACATGAATCCCAGGCCTCCCTTCCAAGACACTGCTTGTCAAAGTCTCTCATAGGGTGGCTCTTGCTGGGAGGCCACAGGTCCAAGCCTTGACTAGGGTTTGACTGATGTTGATAGGAAAGTTAAATAAGCAATGAGGGATGCTAGGAGACAGAGGTACCTGACTTCCTGCACTCTTGTCTCCCAGAACTGCCTGTTTGACACGTGCAACTGTGAGAAGAGTGAGGACTGCATGTGCGCGGCCCTGTCCTCCTATGTGCATGCTTGTGCCGCCAAAGGCGTGCTGCTCAGTGGCTGGAGGGATGGCGTCTGCTGTGAGTGTTCTGTGGAACAGCAAGGCTGCTGTCAAAGGTTATACCTCCCCACAGTAGCCATCTGGGTCCTGTCACTCTGGCATAGGGAGCACTTGGGACCCTTGACAGCAGCAGCTATCAGTCTCCTGTCCTGTTTCTACAAGAACCTTGCATCCTGTTGTGTCAACAATGGTGTCACTAGTCTTTAGCAGGGGAGAACAAGGGCTGGGCCAGTTCACCCTGCCATTGGTCTCTGTCTCATTCTTCTTCCTATAGCCAAGTACATGAACAACTGCCCCCAGAACAAGAGCTACTCCTATGCAGTGAGCACTTGTGAGCCGACCTGCCGCTCTCTGAGTGAGGCCGATGTCACCTGTGGCATCTCCTTTGTGCCCGTGGATGGCTGTACCTGCCCCGAAGGCACCTTCCTGAACGACAAGGGTCACTGTGTGCGTGATGAGGAGTGCCCCTGCTTCTTCCATGGGACTGTGGTGGCTCCCAGAGAGTTTGTTACGGACAATGGTGTGGTGTGGTAAGGAAGATCGCCCTCACCCATCCTCACAGTCTGTGTCAGCGGGATTGCTAGCTGCTAGTCCTTCTAAACCGGAAGTTTGTGTGGCTTCCTCACTGATGGTTTCAAGACATACTTGGGGCATGTTGGGTGTCGGGGGCACCTTTCAGATCCCCCGAGAAGGGGCCGAGAGGTTGTTCTGAGAGTCCTGCGGTATCAGGGCAGAAGCACTGATGAGCACTTCTCAGCTGAGACCTTACTCCCTCCTTGGCCTCAAAGGCAGTTCCTCTCAGCTCACCGTGTGGGCAAGCTTTCTATTACTACAACAAAAAAGCCTGGAAGACATAGAGAGGTCTGTCTTGGTTCACAGTTTTGGAGGTTCAGCCCATGATAGGATATGACTGAGTGGCCCCATGGTTTTGGGTTTGTTATAAGGTTGCACTTCATGATTTGTTTTATATGCCAACCCCAGTTTCTCCTTCCTCCTATCTTCCCATTCCTTCCCCCCACCTCCCATCTACCTCCATTCCCTCTTCCTTCCATGGCAGTCAGCAAAGCATGGTCTATCATGTTGAGGCAAGACCATGCTCCTCCCTGCATCAAGGTAGGGCCAGGCATCCCAGAATGGAGAAGATGTTCTGAAAAGCCAGCTCATGTGCCACTGACAGGTCCTGATCCCACTGCTAGGAACCCCACAAACAGACAAAGCTATACAACAGTCACCCACATGAAGAGGGCCTAGATCAGTCCCATGCAGACTCCCTAGCTCTTAGTCCAGAGTCTGTGGGCTTTGGTTTTCCTTCTTAAGAGCATCGCACCTTCAAGTATTACCATAGGCTAGTCACAATGTGGAGTCCAGGGTCTTCCCAAGGACCCCCAACAGCAGGCACCCTCTTGGCTTTGGGAGGAGACAAGGAGGCCCAGACCTTGGTGGGGTGTGGAAAGTACTGGGGGTAGGATGTAGGAGACACTGGGCCCAGAGCAGGGGTACTGCTGTTTCTTACAGCTCGTGTGAAAATGGGAAGTTGACCTGTCTTGGAGCCCTGATGCAGAGGAGCACAGGTACCATTCCACCCTGACTAGCCTGTACTTTGCTATGGCTGCTGTGGCAAGATGCTCTGGGGAGGAGGGCCCGTGGGCTTTCTGGCAATGTGGCCACAGAGCTCTTGGAATTGCGGGCTATATACCCTCTGGGATAGGTCCACAGAGCCTGGATGCTTGGGACAGAGCACAAAACCATGCAAAACTCAAGGTTGCTATAGTTCTAGCAGCAAGACAGGGTCAGGAGACCACAGGAACCAGAAATGTCCTGCTCTAGGCCTCTCTCACATGCTTGTCCTCCCCAGAGTGCCAGGCGCCTATGGTATATCTGGACTGCAACAATGCCTCAGTGGGTGACAAAGGGGCTGAATGCCTCAGAAGCTGCCACACACTGGATGTGGACTGTGTGAGTCCTCTTGCTTGCAACATCAACCTTCATCCACCATCCTAAACTACAGGAAGAGTGAGGTCGGGGGGGGTTGAGTCACTGGAAGGTTAGTGGCTTTGGGTCTTGCTGACCCTGGATGGCCTCCTCCTGAGCACTCCCAGGACAGGGTTTCCTTGGTTGGTGTCCTGGCCACCTGAATAGGGATGAGGGAACAGGGTGTTGTTTCAGAACCTGACCAGGCTACCTGTGCCCACAGTTCAGCACACACTGTGTCTCGGGCTGTGTGTGTCCCTCAGGGCTGGTAGCAGATGGGAATGGGGGCTGCATTGCTGAGGAGAACTGCCCCTGCGTACACAATGAAGCCACCTATAGACCTGGGGATATCATCCGGGTGGACTGCAATAACTGGTACGTTTGGGGGGCCTCAGAGGGGGGAGGGTCAGTAGTATCTCGAGCAACACTGGTCTGAGCTGACCTGGCCATTTCAGGACCCTCAGCATGTGTCTTGGGGACCAAGGTATCCATAGGACCCCATTCTATGGAGGAAGGGCTATTCCTCCAGCTTGGGGTAATTGGATACCCACCTACACAAGACCAAAGCTTGATGTACTCTGAACTTAATTCCCCAAGCAAAGTGGCATGTTGGTACAGAACTGGGACAGCCATCTCCAAGGACAATACCTTTGTCTGCAATGACCTCTCCTTTCACAGCACCTGCAGGAACCGCCGGTGGGAGTGTACTGATCGTCCCTGTATGGGTGCATGTGTGGCCTATGGGGATGGCCATTTTGTCACCTTTGATGGTGAACGCTACATCTTTGAAGGCAGCTGCGAGTATACCTTGGCTCAGGTGTGTGGTCCCTGGCCCCTCCCAATGAGTCACCATTCTCTATCCTTCCCACCACTCATTTTGAACTGTGACCAGAGCCTCATCTCTTCCCTTCTCAGGACTACTGTAGAGGCAATACCAGTACTGATGGGACCTTTCGTATTGTCACTGAGAATGTCCCTTGTGGAACCACGGGAACCACCTGTTCCAAGGCCATCAAGATCTTTGCGGAGGTTAGAGTATATTTGTAGCCAGTGGGGACTGCTTCCCTCCCTAGGTGGCTCTACCCCTGGTTCTCCAGCCATAAGTTATTCTCAAGGACAGAATAGCAAGTGATCCAAACCCAGGGCTTTACAATAGCAGACTACCGTCTTCCATCCTTGAGCCAGAGTTGGACCAAGACAAGCAGGATCATGCTTCCTGTAGGTCAGGAGGATCCTTCCTGCCTTCCTGACTAGGGGTTCCAGCAGTCCTTGGTTTGTGGCAGCATCACTCCAGTCTGTCTCTGTCTACTCATGACCTTCTGCTCTGTGTCTGTATGTCTCTGGTCATTGTTGGACAGTCACTGAATGGCTTAGATGATACCCAGGTAGTTTCAGAAAACCCATCTCAAGATCCTACAAAGGCTCTTTTTCTAGGAAAGTGTTATTTTAAAGTCCTGGGAATTGTGGGTATATTTGGGGGGATAGTATGCTCAGAACCCCATTTCTGGCAAAGGAAGTCAGAATTCACAGAGCAGAAAGCAGGGCTGCTGGCTTGGGATGTACCTTAGTTAGGGTTTCTATTGCTGCAATAAAACACCATGACCAAAAAGCAAGTTGGGAAGGAAAGAGTTTATTTGGTTTATACTTCCAGATCATAGCCCATCATTGGAGGAAGTCCAGACAGGAACTCAATCAGGGCAGGAACCTGGAGGCAGGAGCTGATGCAGAAGCCATGGAAGAGTACTACTTACTGGCTTTCTCAGCCTGCTTTCTTATAGAACCCAGGACCACCAGTCCAGGGATGGCATCATCCACAATGGACTGGCTCTCCCCCATTGATCAGCTCCCTGAAACTGTTGTATTGTATTTCTCCATCTGCAGAGCTATGAACTGATTCTTCATGAGGGGAACTTCAAGGTGGTAGAGAGAGGGCCAAGTGGGGACCTTCCATATAAGATCAGATACATGGGCATCTTCCTGGTCATTGAGATCCGCAGTGGGATAGTCGTGTCCTGGGACAGGAAGACCAGTGTGTTTGTCCGACTGCAGCAGCATTACAAGGCAAGTGTGGCCACCAAGCAACCTGCTTCTAGACCTAGCTAGGATAAGTCTAGGGCTGGCAACTGACAAGGCTATTGAGGAATGGGTCATATTGAGAAGCTCTAGTCACTGAGACCAGCCTTCTAAGAGAGATGAGTTGAAATTACAATGAATAATGGATGTACTGGATTCATGACTGATGAACCAGCTTTGCCCATGGGCCTTATAGAGACAGACTCTTCTAAAGAGAATAAGTTCAAATCACCCACCTGCTCCAGGACCCACTTCCCACATACATTTGCAAGTTCACTGTATAATCCCAAGATAGACTCTGTGCCACCTTACCTAACCTGCTCAGGATTCTCTCTCCTCATGTGTCTGCAGGGAAGGGTCTGTGGCTTGTGTGGGAACTTTGATGACAATGGCATCAATGACTTCACCACACGCAGCCAGTCTGTGGTGGGTGATGTGCTGGAGTTTGGAAATAGCTGGAAGTTCTCCCCATCCTGCCCAGATGCCCCAGTTCCCAAGGACCCCTGCACTACCAACCCTTACCGCAAGTCCTGGGCCCAGAAGAAGTGCAGCATCATCAACAGTGAGACCTTCGCTGCCTGCCACTCCCAGGTAGGGTATGGTCTTGGTTCACAGGACTTGAGGTTGCCTGCTTTTTCCTGGTAGGAATTGACTAGACATACAGTGGACATCTGAGGACCATCTTTGACCCAGTAAGAGCATATAGTCCATTGCCCTTGGTTTTTAAGTTCTAGGTCTAAATCTCCTACAATATGGGTAGGAAATCATGCATATATCCCCATCATGTAGTCATCAACACTATTTTGGGACCAATCTTTGACTACAGTCTCCATTCATGGCCCTCAATCAGGCATCTTCTTTACCCTCCTAGGTAACCCCCAAACCTATTCAGTGTGTATCAGGAAAACCATCAGAACTCCCCCAGAACAGAGTTCTGGCTCTCAGTAGATTTCCAAAGGCTACCTCCTGTTACTAAATCTAAGACTCAAGTGTCCAGCTAGGAAAGCTACTTCATAACACAGGCTTTCTGGCCATGATAAGATAGGGCTCATGTAGGGTCATGAGTAGCCAGTGCTACTCACTTGTGCTGAGCACCCTGGGTCACCTCACCCAACCTCATGAGCAGGTGAGCAGCAGTCTCTCTGGCTACCCTGATCCATGGTTTGGCTCACTGTGCCCTGACAAGGCTGACTTGGATGTGCCTTTAGTGGCAAAAGCAAGAACCTGAGTCCACTCTGGAGTCTAACAATTGGCACAGTGTGAGTGGGGGGCCCTCTCCTCCACAGAATTAGACAACTCGCCCGTGTTGGAGCTGGTTAGCCACATGTCCCACAGCTGTACCAGTCTGGAAGTTAAACAATGCTAGATGAAATAGCCACCACTAACTATTTCCTTGGGGTATGTTCTCAGGGGTATGGAAGTTCAGGTGGGTTCTGGGTACCAGCAAATTCAAATGGATGGGGGACAAAATTTGCTGTCCCCTGGTGATCCTCCACTGGAGTGAGGTATAGCAGGATGGCTAGGAAGGGGCTCACATAAAAAGTCCAAGTAGAGACCCACCAGAAGTCATGTGAACAGCAATGCAGGGGAAAGTCAGCTATGGGAGGCCATATACAGATAGGCGGCCAGTGCACTGAAGCAAGAGCAAATGACAGAGTTGGGACCACAGTGCAACACCCTGCAGGCATGAAACTTGCAGATCATATGAGCCGATCCAAGTAAAAGGACCCCAGAGAGTATTAGCGAAGGTATACAGGTGGGCAGGTGCACATGTGTGAAGGTAAGTAGGCGTAAATGTGGGGCAGATATTTAGGCATACAGATGCATGGGTGAGTGTGCAGGTAGGCACACAGGCAGGCATTTGTGCAGGTGTAGGTAGGCAGGTACACAGTGTTGTGCAGTGAGGAGCTGTGCAAGTAGACAGATGGATAGGTACATGTATGGACAGGAGAGAAATTGCACAGGTATAGGCAGGTTTGCATACAGACAGGTGTGAAGGTTCATAGGTAGGCAGGCACATTGGTGTACTTTCAGGCATGTGCATATGTGGGCAGGTACACAGTTTTCCAGGTGTGTGTGCAGGTGTAGAGATGAACCGCTGTACAGGTAGATGGGTGTGCAGGTGTGCAGATAGACATATAGGCAGGTGCACAGGTGGCCAAAAAGATAGGTATACATCTGGACAGGTATGTAGGTATATGGGTACACAAGTGTCAGGTTCTGGTATGCTGATGTACAAATGTGCTATGCATTAGTGAGTGGGAAAGGTGACGTTGGACAGTTCCCACTTGGGACACTCTGATAGCAGCCATAGTACTAGATCAGGATTCCCATAGTGTGGGGTTTGAACTACAACTAGCTCCATATCCTCCCCACATTCACCTGCTCTCTGGGCAGACATTGCTATCCTCTCTGAGTGGCATCTTGTCCCCTCCATTCCAGGTTGACTCTACCAAGTACTATGAAGCCTGTGTACATGATGTATGTGCCTGTGACTCAGGGGGTGACTGCGAGTGTTTCTGCACTGCTGTGGCCGCCTATGCCCAGGCCTGCCGTGATGTGGGTGTGTGCTTGTCCTGGAGGACACCAGACATCTGCCGTGAGTGGGGATCTGTCCGTGGTACTGAAGGGTGGGACTGTGAATGAGGTGGGTGGTAGCCTCTATACTTCCCTCCTGGCTTGGATGTTTGGATTCTGGCCACTCTGGTGTGGTGTGTGTGTGTGTGTGTGTGTGTGTGTGTGTGTGTGTGTGTGTGTGTGTGTGTGTGTGTGTGTGTGTATGTGTGTGTGTGTGCGCACGCGTGCGCGCACATCTATATATACATGTGGTTCTTTGACTCCTGATATGAGGTAGTTGAGGTTGGGGACTCCAGAACCTGGCTTAGGGAATGAACCTAAGGAGGCCGTCGGCCTAGTTGTAATCTGGCATGAGGCCTAATAGACTCTGCCTTCTGTGCTTAGCTCTTTTCTGTGACTACTACAACCCTCATGGGGAGTGTGAGTGGCATTACCAGCCCTGTGGAGCACCCTGTCTGAAGACCTGTCGAAACCCTGCTGGACACTGCCTTGTTGACCTGCAAGGCCTGGAAGGTGAGGGTGGAATGTGATGGTGGAGGCCTTCAGGACCATCCCCCATGCATGGTACCTCTAGGGTAGACCCAGTGTACTAGGGGTTCTCTACCACTGATTAGGAGCTGGGCATATGGATACATGCTCACAAGGATATAAAAGTCAATGCTACCCCTGCATGCTCTAGGTTGCTATCCACAGTGCCCACCCACGCAGCCCTTCTTCAATGAGGACCAGATGAAGTGTGTGGCCCAGTGTGGATGCTATGACGATGATGGAAACTACCATGACATTGACACACAGGTTCCTACAGCTGAGAATTGCCAGAGTTGGTGAGAGAGAATCCAGGGAGGGAAGAGGATAGAGACCCAGAGTGGTTGGGAGAGGGCAGGGGTGGGCTAAGGCATGTGTCAGCTAGGGGATGCTCATAGGTCCTCAGAGCCCCTGTCTTCCCTCCAGTCTCTGCACCCCTGGTGGCCTTCAGTGTGTTCACAACCTTACAGGTAAGCAAAGGCTGTGGGTTTGGGGTTGGAGGAAGGCTGGAAGCTGTGGACTCTGAGCCAATACATATAATCTCCAGCCTGCACATGTACCTATGAGGGCCGTACCTACCACTACAATGATGTTGTCTACAACACCACGGATGGCCTTGGTGCATGCTTAGTGGCCATCTGCAAAGACAATGGAACTATAATACGCACAGCTGAGGAGTGCCCTGAAGTCTTGTCTACCACACCATTTACATTCACCACTACCTTGGCATCCCATGCCACATCAGGTAAGAACATATCAGGTTCTCTAGAAGCCATGGAACTTCTAACTACTATGTTAACCCAGGGAGAATCTTGGTCACATCTGGGACAAGGGAAGATGATAAATTGTCAATGCAGGGAACTGTAGCTACAGAGATATCTTTGGTCCTAACTCATTGTCTAGTTTCCTAGGCTCTGCCTGGTATCCATGACTCTCATCCCTCTTTGATTCCCTAGGAAGCCTTAACACAACTGGTAGAGCTACCATTGGGACCAGAGAAATTGTCAGGCACCATTTGTCCTTGGTGTACACACTTCAGTGAGATGAGCTCTCTCAAGACTGCTATCTAGGTCTTGGAACAGGTTCAGAATGGCCCTAACTTGTGTTAAGATGAAAGTCATCTGTTTCTTCATGCTGAGATGGGAGGAACTGAGGAGGGCTTTTATCATTTTCACACAGGCTCAGCTCCCACTGTGTCCCCTGTATCCACTGTGTGTGTCCATGAGGTCTGCCACTGGTCCATTTGGTATGATGAGAGCTACCCAGAGCCTGGAATGACAGGTGGGGACTTCGAAACATTTGAGAACCTGAGGCAGAAAGGGCACCAGGTGTGCCAAACTCCTGCTGCCATTGAGTGCCGTGCAGAGAAGTTCCCCAGCATGGACTTACAGAAGCTGGGTCAGAAGGTGAACTGTGATTCATCCTGGGGGTTGAAATGCCTCAACAGTGAGCAGAGCCCCCCAATCTGCTACAACTATGAGATGAGAGTTCTGTGCTGTGATTATGTGCCTTGTACTTCTTCCCTGACCTCAGGCACAAGTACCACTCACTCCCTGCCTGAGACCAGTTCAGAGCCCACTTTGTCCACTCTCAGTACTCATACAGCATCCTTAGTATCCCAGTCCAGACCCTCCTGGACCACAGAAGGGAAAAAGACATCCCTGGATAAAATTCATAGCTCACGGCAAACAGTAACATTTACCACAAAAAGTGGGGCCACTTCATATCCAATTGGGTCCACAAACTCAGTCAGCAGCCTCCCTGCATCCAGCCGTACCTGGACTACAACAGTAAAAGAGACCACCTTACACACAATGCCTAGCTCCCAGACAAAATCAATATTTACTTCACAGACAGGGTCCACTTCCACAGCCAGCATGATCACGCAGAAAGTCAGCAGCCCCATGACCTCCACCAGCTGCCAACCCCAGTGTCAGTGGACAAAGTGGTTTGATGTGGACTACCCCACATCTGACAGGGAGGGAGGAGACATTGAGACATATGACAAGATCAGGGCCGCTGGGGCAGACATCTGTGGACAGCCTCAGGACATCCAGTGTGTGGCCCAGAACTACCAGGACATGAGTTTGGACATGCTGGATCAGAAAGTCAAGTGTGATGTCAACTTTGGTCTGGTGTGCCACAACAGGGACCAGGGAGACAAGTTTGGGATGTGCTACAACTACATCATCCGTGTGCTGTGCTGTGATGTCAGCCACTGCCAAGGACCTACCACCTCTGCAGGGACACCCCCAACACCAGGAACTGCCTCCACTGCTACACAGACCCTGTCCTCCAAGCCTTGGCCCAACACTAGTCCAGTTGACACCTGGTCTCCCTCAGACTCCATCACCAGCATCTATGCCTCAGAGATGCCCACCCTTGGGATCCTGACTACAAGGGTGTCATCACCACCCAGCACTCCTCTGACAGCCACCTCAAAGACCACTCAGCATCCCATGAGTTCAGCATCCTCTAACACTGTAGGCAGCCTTGAGACATCCACCAGCTGCCAACCCCAGTGTCACTGGACAAAGTGGTTTGATGTGGACTACCCCACATCTGACAGGGAGGGAGGAGACATTGAGACATATGACAAGATCAGGGCCGCTGGGGCAGACATCTGTGGACAGCCTCAGGACATCCAGTGTGTGGCCCAGAACTACCAGGACATGAGTTTGGACATGCTGGATCAGAAAGTCAAGTGTGATGTCAACTTTGGTCTGCTGTGCTATAACAGGGACCAGGAAGACAAATTTGGGATGTGCTACAACTACATCATCCGTGTGCTGTGCTGTGATGTCAGCCACTGCCAAGAACCTACCACCTCTGCAGGGACACCCCCAACACCAGGAACTGCCTCCACTGTCAGTTCCAGGTCAGTCATACGCACTGCCTCGTCTGTGTCCAGCATGCCCACCAACATCAGCACTACTGAGTCTATTTCATCCCCCCCAAAAACCACAGTCTTCACCAGGGCTTCTTCCACAGCCACACTCACACCCAGTGAGACAAAAACCTCATCAAAGCTAACAACTGGTCTCTCCTCAGTCCCTACAACCATGAGTACTACTTCCACAGGGTGTAAGTTTCAATGCACCTGGACAGATTGGCTGGACAGTGACAAACCCCAACCTGGTCAGTTTGGGGGAGACATTGAGACCTACTATCATATTAGAAACAAGACAGGCATTCAGATATGTGAGAAACCTGTGGACATAGAATGTGAAGCTATTCTCTTCCCCAACATGTCCTTCCAGCAGCTGGGCCAGGAGGTAGTTTGTAATGTGGACTTTGGGCTCATCTGCAGGAATAGCAAACAGGTCAACAATCAAACCTGTTTCAACTACCATATCCGTGTACTGTGCTGTGAGGAAGATACCAGCTGTTTCAGCACAACTGGATCACTGTCTACCACCTCCAGTCAAGTGACAGAATCCACTAACACAGCAGGGCCACTGTCCTCCACGCCCATATTGGCACCTGGATTTCACAGTACGGTGTCCATGGCCACAAGCAAGTGGCCATCAGAGGAGCCAATACCTTCAACTTCAGTCACAACTCTAAGGCAACCCTCTTCCGCTAGGACACAGAGGATTGTCTCCATTGCCACAACAAGCGCTACAAAGAGCTTCCCTATCTCTAGTCTATCTACACTCTCAGCCTCTCGCACCAGCTTTTTCCAAACATCAAAAGAGCCACATTCAGGTAAACCAAACACAACTTCACGGACAGCCTCTTCCAATGCAGCATTCAGCACACAGATGGTCACTTCCACAGCCAGCATGATCACGCAGACAGTCAGCAGCCCCATGACCTCCACCAGCTGCCAACCCCAGTGTCAGTGGACAAAGTGGTTTGATGTGGACTACCCCACATCTGACAGGGAGGGAGGAGACATTGAGACATATGACAAGATCAGGGCCGCTGGGGCAGACATCTGTGGACAGCCTCAGGACATCCAGTGTGTGGCCCAGAACTACCAGGACATGAGTTTGGACATGCTGGATCAGAAAGTCAAGTGTGATGTCAACTTTGGTCTGGTGTGCCACAACAGGGACCAGGGAGACAAGTTTGGGATGTGCTACAACTACATCATCCGTGTGCTGTGCTGTGATGTCAGCCACTGCCAAGGACCTACCACCTCTGCAGGGACACCCCCAACACCAGGAACTGCCTCCACTGCTACACAGACCCTGTCCTCCAAGCCTTGGCCCAACACTAGTCCAGTTGACACCTGGTCTCCCTCAGACTCCATCACCAGCATCTATGCCTCAGAGATGCCCACCCTTGGGATCCTGACTACAAGGGTGTCATCACCACCCAGCACTCCTCTGACAGCCACCTCAAAGACCACTCAGCATCCCATGAGTTCAGCATCCTCTAACACTGTAGGCAGCCTTGAGACATCCACCAGCTGCCAACCCCAGTGTCACTGGACAAAGTGGTTTGATGTGGACTACCCCACATCTGACAGGGAGGGAGGAGACATTGAGACATATGACAAGATCAGGGCCGCTGGGGCAGACATCTGTGGACAGCCTCAGGACATCCAGTGTGTGGCCCAGAACTACCAGGACATGAGTTTGGACATGCTGGATCAGAAAGTCAAGTGTGATGTCAACTTTGGTCTGCTGTGCTATAACAGGGACCAGGAAGACAAATTTGGGATGTGCTACAACTACATCATCCGTGTGCTGTGCTGTGATGTCAGCCACTGCCAAGAACCTACCACCTCTGCAGGGACACCCCCAACACCAGGAACTGCCTCCACTGCTACACAGACCCTGTCCTCCAAGCCTAGTCTGAATGTGACCAAGACTCATTCAGCTTTCACCACATTAGCAACAAGCCTCTCAAAAACTCTACCAGGCTCTAGCCACACAGCCACTCTTGTTACATCATCTGCCAGAAGTTCCCTACATGTTTCAAGTGTCAAGGAAACTAGTAAACCAGGAAAGTTCTCCTCTATCCATACAACAGTTGGCATCCTGCACAAAACATTACAGTCATCAACACCTGCCCTGACAACAAAACAAACTTCCTCAACCGGAACCTGGACAAGAATACTTACTGGTACAATTGGCTCTGTCTCCTCAAAACTTCCACCCACGAGCCTGGAATTGACTACAGGCATAAAAGAGCTCTCTACCAGTACACCAAGGACACAGACGCTACCAGTAACAATGACTAATTCCACCAGCAGCCAGGGCAAAACCCACTGCCAAGCCAAGTGTAAGTGGACAGAATGGTTCGATGTGGACTCACCAACTTCAGGGGTAGTAAGAGGGGACATGGAGACCTATGAAAACATCAGAGCTGCTGGTAAGAAGATTTGCCAGGCACCAGAGAAGATTGAGTGTCGTGCAGAGAACTACCCTGCAGTGAGCATTGATAAGGTTGGCCAAAGAGTAACCTGCAACCTGGAGACAGGACTGGTCTGCAAAAATGAGGACCAGACAGATGATTTCAAAATGTGCTTCAACTATAATATGCGTGTGCTTTGCTGTGATGATTATAGCCACTGCCCCCACACAACTGCTGTACCACATACATCTACCACGAACAAGACTACAGTCAGCAAAGAGGCTACCACCATGGCCCCCAGTTCAGCAACAGGACAAGGACACTTCACTAAAGCTACCACCTTCTCAAACACTGCACAAAGTCTGATGACCAGCATTACCCACACAGGATCTACACCTTTCACATTCTCAGGCAGCAGCCCTGTGACCTCCACCACCTGCCAACCCCAGTGTCACTGGACAAAGTGGTTTGATGTGGACTACCCCACATCTGACAGGGAGGGAGGAGACATTGAGACATATGACAAGATCAGGGCCACTGGGGCAGACATCTGTGGACAGCCTCAGGACATCCAGTGTGTGGCCCAGAACTACCAGGACATGAGTTTGGACATGCTGGATCAGAAAGTCAAGTGTGATGTCAACTTTGGTCTGCTGTGCTATAACAGGGACCAGGAAGACAAATTTGGGATGTGCTACAACTACATCATCCGTGTGCTGTGCTGTGATGTCAGCCACTGCCAAGGACCTACAACCACCTCTGCAGGGACACCCCCAACACCAGGAACTGCCTCCACTGCCATGCTCTCTAACACTGCCATAAACACTTCTTGGACTTCCTCTGCAACCCTCAGCAGTGCTTCAACTACCTCCATGTCTACTTCCAAAGAGACTCAGCCCTCATCTTTGCTGAGTACTAGGATTACAGCCATGTCTACTCCACTCTCTAGCTCCAAGGGCTGCAAGCCTCAATGTACCTGGACAGACTGGATTGACCAGAGTTCCCCTACACCCGGGAATTCTGGCGGGGAGTTTGAGACCTATGCCAACATTGGAGCAGCTGGAATTGCAATATGTGAAAAGCCCGTGGACTTAGAATGTGCTATTGTTGACCAGCCCGATGTGCCTTGGCAGGAATTGAGACAGGTGATCAACTGCAGTCTGGACTTTGGTCTGGTATGCAGGAACCTGGACCAGATGGGGCCCTTTAGCATATGCCTCAACTATAGAATCCGTGTGCTTTGCTGCGATGACTACAGTCACTGTTCTAGCCTCCCTTCCAGCACCATAACGTCAGGCCTGTCCTGGTCTACCCACACAACCACAGTCCCTTTCACAACCACAGTGTCCTCAAGCACTGAATCCACCTTTCAAACCAAGCATCCCTTCAGCTACCCTGTGTCAAGTACTAAAGCATCCACATGGACCACATTTCCAGACTCAGGCTGTGTACCTCGATGCACATGGACAGACTGGTTTGATGCAGACTTCCCTAACCCTGGTCCCAGAGGTGGGGACTTTGAGGTCTATGCAGTGTTACGTGAGGTTGGCTTTGTGTTCTGTGATCAGCCCAAGGATATCCAGTGCCGCTCTGAGAAGGAGCCAGACAAGCCCCTGGAAAGTCTTGAGCAGGTGGTTCAGTGTGACGTGCGATTCGGGCTGATATGTAAAAATATCAATCAATCAGGGCCTTTGCAATACTGTGACAACTACCATGTGCGCCTCCTCTGCTGTGACAACAGCCACTGCACCACACCACCTACGGCCACCTCCTCAGCCACCCACTCGTCCTCCACCATCCCTTCCACCTCTCCCCTGTTGCCCAGTCACACTTCCCCAACTTTGAACACCGTGACTTCTTTACCTGAGGTCACTGGCTCCGTTATGCCCCACTCCTCCTCCGTAGGACCCACTTACACCTCTCCAGTTTTGACCACAGGAACTTCACCTGTAGCCACGGGCCCCACTGTCCCCACTGTGGCCCCCTCCCCTACCTCAGAGACCACTCACACCCCTCAAGTTTCCCGAAGCAGCCAGGTGACCTTCAGCATGCGTACTGCTTCTACCTTGGGCCTCAGTACCCTCAAGCCTACTGTCTTCTCCAGCCAATCATTTTCCCCTTCGCCCTGTTTCTGCCGGGCATTTGGACAGCTGTTCCTACCTGGTGAGTAGAAAAGCCCACGTTCTCCCTACCCCATGTTCCTTGTCCACCTGGGTCAGTCAGCCTTGGGAGCTACGGGCCTTTTCACGAATGCAGAGTTCAGCCCATGCCCTCTCTGGAAATTCCCTCTCCGTCAGGCAGGCTGTCCTTCCTACCCTAACACTACCCTGCCTCTTCAGATGGGATGTGGCTATGTCTTTCTGTTTTTTTTTCCTCCTACAGGAGATGTCATCTACAATAAGACTGACGGAGCTGGCTGCCAGTTCTATGCCACCTGCAACCGGTACTGTGACGTTGACCGCTTCCAGGGTGCCTGCCCCTCCTCTTCATCTCCAGAGCCCTCTACTCCTACGCCTTTGTCCCCCCTGCCTCCTGGCTGTGATAATGCCACCCCTCCTCGGCAGGTGAGCCTCCCCTCCCTCTACCTCCCTCTGATGTGCTGTGGATCTGGGTTCTCAGGGACACCTGCATTTGGGTTGAGTCATGGCTAATTCTCAGCACCACCTCAACCCTGTAACCTCTCTTAGTGACCCATCTTCCAGTGGCTCCTGTTGAGAGAGGTGCACGGGATCTGAGGTCATCGGCTGGAGCTGGCTGCCTTCTGGGATTCATAGCTGTAGGGACCTGGGGCTACAGAAATGACAGGCTTGAGTTTCCACATGACTTCAAGGTGAAGAAAGACCCTATATATCTTCTGCCTCAGGTGAATGAGTCCTGGACCTTAGAGAACTGCACGGTGGCCACGTGCCAGGGAAATGACCAGATCATCCTCCTAGAGCCGGAGCCTGTGGACAATGTCACCTGCGTCAACAAGCACTTGCCCATCAAAGTGTGGGACCAGGAGCCTTGTCACTTCCACTATGAGTGTGAATGTGAGCAGAGGGCAGGCATGGGTCAGCTCAGCAAGACGGGACAGGACTGAGGCATTTGATCTCAAACAGCCCATGTAAATGTGCTAGCCTGCAGGCATTGTGTGCAAAGGGAATACGGATGTGGCACAGGCAGGGGCTGTGTGGCCAGAGAAGTTAGGGTGCAAAAAGCCACAGTGGGAGTCCTTTCTTGCAATCTTGATGACAACTTCCATTACTGAGTGTTAAATGCCTAAAACTGGGGACTTAGAACAGCAAACCATGCCCGAGCTAGAGTCAGATCAAGACAGTCAACTCATCCCTATGGAGGACCCTTCTTGACTTTCCTAGGTAAGGGCTACAGGATTCCTTGACTTGTGGCTTCATCACTATATTCTGCCTCCATCTTTTTATGGTCTTCCGCTCCATGTCTATCTCTCCTGTCTTTTATGAAGTATGCTGCCATTTGGTTCAAAGGACATCCAGGTAATTTGGGATGGTCCCATTATAAGACCAATGTCACATTCACAGATCCCAATGTAGATATGGTTTGGAAGATGCCTATTTTATAGATGAAGCAGCTGTGTTCCCTTGAAGAACAGTTCCAGAGGCAGTGCTAGGTATCAGGGCTAGGAAGTGAGCCTACAACTGTAGGTATCAGGGCTGGGAAGTGAGTCTACAACTGTAGGTATCAGGGCTGGGAAGTGAGCCTACAACTGTATCTTCCATAGGTTTCTGCAGTGGATGGGGACGCTCACACTACCTGACGTTCGATGGCACCTCCTATACTTTCCCGGACAACTGCACCTCAGTGCTCATGAAAGAGATCCACCCTCGTCATGGCAACCTGAGCATCCTTGCTCACAGCTACTACTGTGGGGCTACCACCAATGTCACTTTCTGTCCCCGTGCCCTCAGTGTGTACTACAACTCCATGGAGATTGTCCTTACCATCACCACCAGTGCCAGTGGGAAGGAGGAGAGCCTGGTGAGTCTTAGGAGCCCCAAGGTCACACTGCAAGCATGAGGCCTGGGTATGGGGTGACACAAGCAAAGATGAAAAGCCCTTGGTACCAAAAGCACACTCCCCTCTGCAGAAATGACCTGTAGGAACTGTCCTAGGGAAAGAATAAATGCCTAGCTGTAGGTTGAGGAATAAACAGGAATGTCCCTGGTGTTTGACAAAGCAGCATCCACTGCTGCCTACCTGGCCCCCTGGTTACTGGTTCCCTCTGGACATACCTAGATCATATGGGACCAAATGTGGATAAGATCAGGTTCCAGCAAGAATGGTGTGACAGTGTCCTTGAGTGGTACCACCACGATGAGTGTCAACATTTCTACCATTGGCACCAGCATCACCTTTGATGGGCACATCTTCCAGATACAGTTACCCTACAGATACTTCAGCAACAATACTGAGGGCCGGTGTGGTGAGTAGCATGTCCTGGCTCATTCTGCATCCATAAGTGGGGGTAAGGAATGGATCTACAGAAAACAGCAAGAAGCTGATTGTCATCCCTACCCTATTTACCAGGTACCTGCACAAACAGCCAGACAGATGACTGCCGCCGGCCAGATGGCACCATAGCTTCCAACTGCCAGGACATGGCCAAAGACTGGCTGGTGCCTGGGAACAGCAACAACAGCTGCTTAGCTCAGCCTAGCCCTCCCCCAAGCACCACCCCCCAGCCTCCAGTGTCCAGCACACCCACTTCTACCCCGTGCCCTGCTGCGCCTCTCTGCGAGCTGATGCTGAGTCAGTGAGTCGGCCTTGGAGTGGTGGGCCTGAGCAGCAGTCCCCTTGCCTAGCCTCCCTCCTAGGCCCTGAGCTCCCAGTCCTGACCACTCACTGTCATAGGGTCTTCGCCGAGTGTCACTGGCTCATCCCTCCAGATACCTTCTTCAATTCCTGTGTCAGTGACCACTGCAACACCAATTTTACTGGCATGCTCTGTCAAAGCCTGGAGGCCTATGCAGCACTCTGCCGGGCCCAGGGTGTGTGCATCAATTGGCGCAACGCCACTGGAGGGCTATGTGGTAAGTTGGGAGCATCCAACTTAGTCAGGGCTCCAGTCTCCTTGGTTCTTCCGAACCTGTCTGATGATGCTCTCTGCGCCCACAGACTTCTCCTGTCCACCTACTAAGGAATATAGGCCTTGTGGGCCCCTGCATCCAGCATCCTGCAGCTCCAGGTGAGTGCCAGCTAATAGGGAGTGTGGAGGTAGCAGCTGGCCTCCCATGTCTGAGCTCTGGGACCCCACAACTGGCTCTTGGAGCTGCACCTCATTTCTGACCCTATACTTGCTACTCCTCCTCACACTAGGACACTGAGCATTTCAACTGGGACACTGACAGAGGGCTGCTTCTGCCCTGAGAATCAGCTCCTCTTCAATTCACGCATGGACATCTGTGTGCTGGAGTGTCGTAAGTGCCATTCACCTGCTATGGGGCAAGGCCTGTCTTCCTACCCCTGCCCCCCATAGGGTCCTCACCTGCCAGGCCAGGATCCAACACATCTGTAGACCCTCTTCTGCCCTGACTAATATGTGAGAGGATGCTGGTGAGGTCATTAGTCCTTCAGGTGTCTAAAGGCCTCCTGTGAGCCTGTCACCATTCTGTCTAAACTCTGCCGCTTGGAGCTGCTCAGAGAAGCCGTCTCCCTTCACCGAATGAAGTACCAGACTCTCAACATCCAACCTCATCACTGACTGCCTCAGAGACCCGAGACCCTCAGAATTCTCTAGGGCCTTCTGTTCTACCCTGGGAGAAGATGTGATATCTTGGCTTGGGGTACAGGTAGCCAGGGCTAAGAGCACAGTTCTCTCAGCCTATGACCCCCTTCTGCCTGGCCTTGAACCCCAACATCTCCAGTAACAAGCTTACTCATTTCTTTCCAGCCTGCGTGGGACCAGATGGGCTACCCAAGTCTGTGAGTGGTGCTGCTCCCCTGACCCCCACTTGAGCTAAAGAAGAGCAGGAAGGAAGTAGGGCGGGTGGCTAACTCTTCACAGCCCAGGAGGCTGATTGGGGATCCTGGGTTTCCTCCCTGCTGAGGGCAAACAATGACCTCAAGTTGAGTTCAGGCAGACAGGCTAGGGACTTTAGGACCTCATGACCTTCAGAGATCCTGATTTGGCTTGTTTCAGCCGGGAGAAAACTGGACCAGCAACTGCCAGTCCTGTGTGTGCGACCCCAGCTCTGTGTCGGTACAATGTGAGCCAATGCAGTGTGAGAGCCAGGAGCTCCCAGAGTGCACAGAAGCTGGCTCTGTGTCTGTTACCAGGCCCAGGGCTGACAATCCATGCTGCCCCGAGACAGTCTGTGGTGAGCACCCACTGGGGACGCAGAGTCATACTCTAGCTTAGCTACACTGGGCCACTCAGGTGGGGGATGGTTTCAAGATGCTTCAGCTTTTGACCTGAAAATAAGGCTGGTGACCTCTGGTCTGACCTAACAGCAGAGAACTGGTAAGGGCCAAGGGGATAAAAGAGTGAGGGACTTGATGAAACCCAGAAAAGCCATGAAGCATACTAGGCTCCAAGGAAAAATGACACTAGAGGCCACCAGTTTTCCCAGAAATGGAGAAGATGGGGGCTGACGGTGGGGCAAAATAGGCAGCATCCTGACAGGGCATGTCTCTACAGTTTGCGATGCAACCACCTGCCCCGAGAGTGTGCCCACGTGTGACCCAGGGTATGAGCTGATCCAAAACCATGAGAATGGCAGCTGCTGCCCCAGCTTCAGCTGTCGTGAGTAGAAATGGGGCTGCAACAGCGGGGGAGGGGGACTCACTGAGGCTGGTTGCATTGGAGTTCAGGGAGGGGGAGGAGCAAGAGTCTCTGTCCCACTGCCCAGATGCATACTCAGCCCCCTTTCCTTTCAGAACCTTTGATGTGCACACACAATAACACCTTCTATGGGGTAAGGGCTCAGCTTGGGCAGGGTGGACAGTAGAGGTAGTCAAGGCGGGTGGGAGGCCCATGCCCCCCAGTTCCTGGTCCTTGTCTTGGCATCCTTGCCATAAAGGCAGATCTGAAGAAGGTATCTGGGTCCTTAAGACAAATGGCCGTGTGTGTGTGTGTGTGTGTGTGTGTGTGTGTGTGTGTGTGTGTGTGTGTGTGTGTGTGTACTGTGGAAAGCTTCTGGGTCTCCCAGGTTACTGCTCACTGGATACCTGTGTTCAATTAGGGGAACAATTACACTTTGGGGGAGAAGAACTGGGCCCATGGCCCATGCTTGGACTCAGCTAGGAGTCCTGACCTGATATGAGCTCACTCCCTGCCTCCACCTTCTCTCAGTGCCACCCTCCTCATCTGCTCTAGGTCGGTGCGAACTTCCTAGGAGATGATCACTGCCAAACATGCACCTGCTTCTCTGTGGGCAATCAAGAACCAAAAGTAGAGTGTAGAGAGATCCTTTGTACCACCTTCTGTCCCCAGGTGAGCTTGTGTCCTGGCAGACATTCTGAGAGGCTACCCATCGTAGCCCATCACTGAGAGTCCTCCAACTGACTATAATTTTGAGGTTTTGTTTTTTTTTTCTAAAGGGAAAAGTAGGGGGATGATGAGGACTGGAGGACATCCTTCAGGTTGATGAGCTGACTAGGAACAAGTCTAGTATGGTACCAGTAGACCAGCAGTTCTCAGCCTGTGGGTCGCAATCCCAATTAGAGTCGCATATCAGATATCCTGCACAGCAGATTATTTACATTACAATTCATAACAGTAACAAAAGTATAGTTATGAAGTAGCAATGAAGTAATTTCATTAGGAATGCTGAGAACCACTACAGTGACAGAGAGGCTAAGAAGCAGGGTGAGTTAAGCTGCAAGACCTGGGAAGAGGGTACAATACTCATCAAAGACATAACATCTCAGCGGTTCCTGCTAAGGAGGCTCAGGGCCCCTAGAGCATACTCAGAGGGTGACTGGGATGAATGAGAGACCTGACCACCTCTCCTGTCCCCACAGGGTTTCAAGTACACGCTGAAGCCAGAGCAGTGCTGTGGGGAGTGTGTACAGAATGCCTGCCTCACGCCAGAGGGCCAGGTGGTGCAGGTAATAGGAGAGGCTGTAAGAGACCTTCCCCTGAGCAGGTCAACCACAAGTGGATCCCAATCTGGACCTCTGTTGTGTGTTTTGCTTTCCAGCCCAATGAAACATGGGTGAACAGTCCTGTGGATAACTGCACTGTGTACCAATGTAAGGTTGAGAATGGAATCCATATACTGACTCCAATCCCCACAGCCTGCCCTGATGTGTCCAACTGTAGGGTATGTGCCTGGGAGTCCCTGTCTTTGGGTGGTCCACCCTCGTCATGCCCCTGGAAGGTTCTGACCCAAGAAGTCTGTGTCCCTATGGTTTGTACCCCATATCCTAGCTCTGTCCCAGTCCTAGTTGTTATGTTCTTGGCCCTGCAGGGAACCCTAAGGAAAACAGGTTGCTGTTACTCCTGTGAAATAGAGGGTAAGTGGAAGAAACCTCTCATCTAGTCCTCCAGCTCCACCCAGTTCCCATCCAAAAGCAATTCAAGTTTCTCCCACTGGGTGGCAGATCCCACCAAAGTCTCAGTATAATAGAAGGGGTCGGTCACCCAGGAAAGGTGTGTCAGTTACTTCTCTCGTTGCTGTGGCAAAATCAATTTATAGAAGGAAAGCTGCATGTGGCTCATGGTTTGAGTGTATAGTCCCACCATGGCAGGGACCCATGGCAATATAAGCAGATGCTCATATATGTCTGCAGCAAAGAAACTTACTTTCTCATTTTCACTTAGTCTGAGACCCCAGCCCATGGGAGGTCCTGGCCACACTCAGGGTAGGTCTTCCCTCATAAGTTAATTTAATCTAGAAAATCCCTCAGAACTTCATCTATCAACTAGGTGACTGTAGATCCTATCAAGTTGACAGTCAATATCAACCATCATGGAGGGTCAGTCTTATTGGGTTCAGGGTCTGTGAGTGAGAATCTAGGGTCTCTGCACTGACCTGTCTTCTTTGCAGACTCAAGTAGATGCCACGTGCGTGTAAATACAACCACCCTGCAGTATAACGGCTGTGAAACAGAGGTGGCAGTCGACCTCACCTTCTGTGAGGGTTCTTGCCCTGGAATGTCCAAGTGAGTGGGTGCCTTGCCTCCCCAAGAATATAGAACCAGTAGCTACTTTGTCACCTTGGGTCTTACAGAGATTGTCTCCTTCTTGAGGTCAGGAGGCCACATATACCTGTGTGCATAAAACACATGGCCCATCTCCAAGTCAAGCCAGGGACAAACCTGGCTTAGCTATACAGAATAGGGTTTTGGCTGGGGACTTGTGTCTAGGAATCTGAATGTGTCTAGAGGGGCAAGCAGCATCAGACCCCTCTGTGGTCCCCAGATGGCCCTAGGCTGTGGTCAGCTGTGAACAGAAGTGACCAGGAAGGTTGAGCATTTGTGGTTAGAGAAGGCAGGAGGAAGGGTCCCAGGCTGGCTTCAGGGCTTAGGATGGCTGCCAGACAGAGAGTCTCAACAGGGTCAGCAGGATGGAAAGGGAGGAGAATCAGAGGAGGCTATGCAAGATGGAGTAGGGTTTAAAAAGAGCCCAGGAAGGGCAAGGCTGTGTGTTCAAGAAAGTAGCCATGGCGGACAGTCAGACGCCTTCCAAGAGCCCACAGAGGACCAAGAATCACTACCCTGCTAAGAGGATCACGGAGCTGAAATGCTGACCCTCCCCTGCCCACAGGTATTCCATGGAGGCCCAGGCCATGGAGCATAAGTGCACTTGCTGCCAAGAGAGCAAGGTCCATGATGTAGCTGTGACCATGCAGTGTCCCAATGGTAAAATCATCCAGCACACCTATACCCACATCGATGAGTGCAGCTGTGCCCTGGCCTGCAGCTCCCTGCCCATGACTTCCATGAACACTTCCTAGTGCCCAGTGCTGGAAGGCAATTGCATCCCCCAACCCCTCAAGTCCCTCCACCTGGAGCAGAACCTGCCCAACTGACCATGAAACCCTTAGGCAGGCATGCTCCATGCGGCCCACAAGAACCCTCTGTGGCCCCCACTGCATCTGCTCCATTTGGTGAAACAAGCATCGTGGAGGGTAATGGGACAATTAAGATCCATTCGAGGAGGGGGCCAGGTGAGGATTTGTCCCTTGGAGGACCCTCTTGGTTGTCTTGGCCTCATCTTCTGTGATGACATTTAGATGTCATGGAGAAAAACAGACAGCCTGTGGCTGTAGGCCTGTGTGCCCTTTATCACATAAAGAAGCCCTCTGCCAGTTATCTCAAGTGCACAAAGGCAGATGGGACTGTCCAAGCAAGACAGGCTACCCAGGGAGCTGTGTCAGGCAAAGTGGCTGCCTGCTGGAGGGGCTGTGGGATCTGGGGTTAGAGAGGGGCCTGTGCTCACCCTGCCCTAAGCTGCAATAAACCCTGGCACTGTGTGTCTCCTCCTGGTGTCTTTTCCTGCCCACTCTGCATGGCTTCCTGTTTGTGGTTTGAAGTTACCAGGGATGAAGAGTTATCAACAGGAACATGAGGGATGAGAAGCTGGCTAAGAGGAAAAGGGGAGAGGTACTTGTCCATTAGCTTGACACTTAAGAGTATGAGCAGGGCAAGGCCAGCCAGGAAACCACATACCAGCCTAGCTGCCAAAGCATCAGGGCATCACAGGCAGACAGAGGAGCCTGTGGGCTGGGGAGGCTCCTAGCACCCATTGGTGTGTGGCGACTGTAATGCTGTAATGGGCAGAAAAGAAGGGTGTTTTGCCCTGCTCAGACCCCAAGGGGCTGTGGCTGCAGTGGTGCTGGGAGCCCAGGTCTTTTTCTGCCTCCTCAGGTGCACTATATTCAAAATACCTGCCAATTTTTGGTTTACCATACAAGTGGCTGTCCTTAGCTCCTTTCTTTCCCTCCGTCTATCCAAAACGGAGAGTATTCCATAAGCATGGCAGGGAGTCGCAGGGACCAGGGTTGGGAAATGGGGGGCGCTATGGCTTGGGCTCCAGAAGTAGGAGGGGCAGGAAGGAAGCATGTCAAGAAGGATCCTCTATGTGGTGTGAGACAGAGAATGTCCTGGCTTGACTGTGCAGGAAGGGTACAAGATGACCTCCAAATGTATAGAATGTGGTCAATGGTGGGGCTATGACCTAGGAAGATAAAGACACAGTGGCTAGTTATGACCCCAAAAGCCTCTGGAGACGTAAGTAGAGGGGTCCTGCTATGGGCTGTGGGCTATCCTGCACTCCAGTGTCGCAGACCTCCTGTGCCTGGTGTTGGGTTCAAGGACCAGACTCCTCCCAAAAATGGCCAGTGAGCCTGCCTTTCATACACACTTGCTGAGGTTTGTCTGGCAGGCAGCCCACTGGGAAACATGGTCCAGAGACTGAAGAGGCAGCAGGTGTGCTGGGGGACAGCAGAAGGGCTACTGGGGCCAGCTTCTCTAAGCCCACCTTTGACCTCATGGTGTGGCTTCCGGGACAGAAAATTCCAAGTCCCTGTCTTCATGAAGCCACAGCAAAATGCTATTTCTTTCAACTCAGTCATCTCAAGCACCATGACTGGAATCAGGAACATCACCTGACAGAGACACTCTCAAATGGTGAGGTCTTCCATGTCTGGGGACACTCCTGACTACGGTCATAAATACAATGTGTGCAGTCACTGATCCATTTTACCAGTCAGGAAACAGAGGCACAAAGAGATGAGGGGTCCTGCTTTAGCAAGGCCTGTTCCAGCCAGATGGTAGACTCAAGAGTCCACTCTGGAAATACAAAGCCTGGCCAGGACCCAGGGAAAACCACAGTAAGACACAATGAGTAAACAAACTGTTCTAGGTCCACTTTAAATACATGCTAAGAGGGATTTCTGCCTCCAAGGTGGGAGAGTGGGCATCTCTTCCCCACAGACAGTGACAAAAAGAATACACAGCCAATTAAGTGGGTTAAGTTGAAAGCAGACTTCCTCCTGAAAGAGAAGGACATTAACAATACACCAACAATGACAGGGCAACACAAGGGGTCCACATCAGGAGGCCCAACACCCTCCCTTGTAGGGAATATACAGTTAGCTCCTAAGTACCAGGCCTCTGGGTCCCCGAGTAAGGCAGATTCAGTAAACAAAAAGGGATCAAGCACCAGGCACTCAGGTTTTCAGTTAAGGCAGTGTGGTTTTAAATAAATGATTTGAGATTATTGGTGATATACCTGTAGTTCCCCCAAAAGAAAGACTGGAAAGGAGCTGGGTGTGGTGGCACATACCCATAATGTCAGCACTCAATGAGGGGGCCAACCTGGGCCATACAGTGAGACCTGGTATAGAAAGAAAGGAAGAGAAGGCTGCCTGGAGATGAGTACCGGAACGTTCTTGCCGGGGTTATAGTCACAAGGCAGTAAGGGTACTGCTTAGCCTGAGGAAAACCATCCTACATGCTTCCCCATTTCCACCACCTGAAGCTTTTAAAGAGGCTGCAGGGTCCTGTTCCCATAGATAGAGCAGTAGAGGCCTGCAGTTCACAAAGGTGTTATTGAGTTGTCTTCAAAATACAAATGAGGGGCTAGAGAGAAGGTTCCATAGTTAAGAGCACTTGCTGTTATTCCAGACCATTAACAACCATTTGTAACTCATTCCTGGGGATCTGACACCCTCTTCTGGCCTCCATGAGCACTAGGCGTGCATGCACATGGTGCACAGACATGCATACAGGCAAAATACCATACCTGTAAAATAATAAAAAATTAAAGCATAAATGAGGGCCGGTGCCACACAAGCCTGGCTACCTGAATTCAATCCCTGGAACCTGCTTAAAGAAGTTGTCCTCTCCCCTCCACATGCCCATGGCGGCATGCACACACCCACACTTACATAGACACCATTCGCTCACACACAGTATTAACTAATGAAAGTTAAAACTAACTGAATGGGGCACTGGGGAGATGGCTCAGTTGGTAGGATGCTTGCCAATGAGCATGGGGATTTGAGTTGAACCCCAGAACCCACATAACATCAGGACGTGGTAGTGTGTGCTTTCCGTGTCAGTACTGGGGAGGTGGCATCTTGCCTTGCCAGTGAACTTGTAGTAGTGGTCACACCCTTTGGGCGTGGTTTCAGGTGCAGATGTGACTCTTAAGGTAGAGGAGCTGTGGGAGCATATGTTCTTGGGTTGCAGACAGCATCGGAAGGGCAGAGACTGCATCTTCTGTATCAGGAAGGCTGTGGCAATTATTTACTCTTATCTGTGTAAGTCCTTCCCTAATAAACACCTATTTATCATTTATCTTGGGTCTGGTGAATTCATTTAAACCCCACCTTTACCTAAGATGGACCATTAACCTCTACATGATGTGTATTGGCACACACACACACAAACACACACACACACACACACACACACACATCTGCACATACACACCACCAAAAATAAAAGTATTCATGTTGATCCTTTGTCTGAACTTACAACAAGGGTGCTTTCTCCTAAGTAGCCTGGGGAATCTCAATGGCCTAAGCTGCTAAGCAGGAAGGTAAGCACTCCAGGAAAGTGCACTCGGCAACTCTGCCTTGTATACCTGGGGGACCTGCCCAAGGCCCTGAGTGGGAACAAGGTGGACTCTGTTCCTCCCACAAACAGTACTGGGGAACGTGGATGACAGGAGGCACACACTACCCTTGTGAGCTCACAAGCATGGCTGGGTAAGGTCTGCTTCACCAGGGGCAGGGAGGATGCTTGGAAAGGAGAGGGACATGTCTTCGTCACTGTTCTATTGCTGTGAAGAGACACTGTGACCAGTTATTAGAAAAGAACATTTAAGGGAGGCTTGCTTATAGTTTCTGAGTTGGTTGTTTAGCATCAAGACAGGAAGCAGACAGGCAGACTGCTACTCTGGAGCAGTAGCTGAGAGCTTTACATCCTGATGCACAGGCAGCAGGCAGAGGAGAAACACAGGGCCTGGCATGGGCTTTTGAAACTCAAAGCCCAGCCCCCATGACACACTTCCTCCAACAAGACCACACCTCCGACTCTTCTCAAATGGTTTACCAACTAGGGACCAAGCATTCAAACCTATGAGCCTAGTGGGACACTGTCACTCAAAATCACCTTCTAAAGCTACGAGGAAGGGGAAGCTTGAGGAAGGAGGAGCCCCAGTGGCCCTACAGGGACAAACACACAAGTTCAAACGCCATGAAAGAGCTTGGCAAGCACCCACAAGAGGATTGTCAGGAAGCTGGACACTGACTTTTTGAAACAGGGTCTCTCAGTGGCCTGGACCTCACCAAGTAGACTGGTCTGCTGGCCAGGGAGTCCCAGAGATCGCTGTCTCCACTTTCCCAGTACTGATACTAAAAACACACACTACCATGCCCTGATGTTATGTGGGTTCTGGGGTTCAACTCAAATCCCCATGCTCATTGGCAAGCATCCTACCAACTGAGCCATCTCCCCAGTGCCCCATTCAGTTAGTTTTAACTTTCTTTAGTTAATACTGTGTGTGAGTGAATGGTGTCTATCTAAGTGTGGGCGTATGCATGCCATCGTGGAGGGCAGACGGCATCTCTCTGCCAGCCACTGAGATGGAGAGACAAGGAACTTGGGCCATGGGCGATGTGGCATTGCCTGACCATGTACAGGACAAATCTGGGGCATGGAATAAGGTGTAGCTGTCAGAGAAAAGAGACATGGACCCGGCACCCCAGCCCTAACACAGGCCTGGAAGAACTGACCTAGCTCTGCTGCGCTCTCACACTCTGATTATTCTTCCACCAACCTGCTGCTGGTGCCCTGGATCCAGCGACATCTAGCTTTCTGTATCTCCACAATACCTGGTGCCCTGGATCCAGCGACATCTAGCTTTCTGTATCTCCACAATATCCGGCTGACTGGCCTGTCTCCTGAAACCTTCTTCCCAGCTCGTCCACTGTCAAGCACAGTCCAGGTTATCACCTTGCTGAGTCTGTTAGCACTGTTTGGAAGGATGTACAGTCTTTAAGAGGCAGATCTTCAAAGTAAGGCACTGAGTATGGTGAGGTTTTACATTCAGAACTGCTGCCAGTTTGTCACTAGATTCATGTGGCCAGCTTCCTCAGTCTCACTTATGCCACCCCTCCATGATGGCCTTAAACTACTTTTGTCAAGTATTTGGTCACAGCAATGAGACAATTAGCAGATGCAAGTCTCTTCTATTCTCTCCTGGTGATCTCATCCTACCTTGGTACTTGTCATTATGTCCTTTACGGGGAGAATCAAAGTGGTGAGAACTGGATACCACCTCCAGGCTCAGCTCATGGCTGTGAACACTTTGAAAGAATATACAGAAGAGCCAGACAGAGAGACCTTGGGATAAGAGCAGAGAACAGATGCAGATACTGCCAACAGAGCCCTGTGCCTTCATCTACCCCAAGGGTAAACATTTAGGAGAGAAGATGGGCTTAAAACCCCCCCAAGATGGCAA